CAGTGGAAGGTGTCCCTGCCCATGGTAGGAGTGGGACTGGATGATCCTTAAGGTCCCTTCCAACTCAAAATATCCTGGAATTCTATGAAACAGTGAATTTAAAACAAGGATAATTTAGGGGAATTTTCTGTCTGCAAATTGATGCTTTAAGAGCCCATATTTTTAAGAGCCCATATTTAAGAGCAGGGTTGTACCTTGGGTGCTCTCCTGGCTTCTGGCTGGGAAAGAATTCCATCCCTCCCAAAATCTTTGCCATGAAACAAATGCAAAGCTTATTTCTGGAGGCTGTTCCTGGATGGATTTCCTCCAGAACTCCTTGGAAAACCCAGCAATTCAGTCCTGATTAAAATCAGGCTGCTGCTTTTGGGGCTGGTGACAATTCAAACACAGATCACCAAAAGTGATTAAATATAATTATTTATGATCCCATATAATTATTACCTTGATAAAATCTGACTTTTGGAATTTTGACTGGAAAGCTGGGGCTGCCCCTGGATCCCTGGAAGTGTCCAAGGCCAGGCTGGAGCAACTTGGGATAATGGAAGTTGTCCCTGCCCATGGTAAGGGTGGCACTGGATGATCCTTAAGGTCCCTTCCAACTCAAAACATCTTGGAATGTTATGAAACACAATGATTTATGATTCCATACAATTATAACATGATTTGGTGATGTTTTTCCCTGGAAATCTCAGTGTTATTCCCATTTCAATCCCTCCCCGATTTTAGCTGATCATGAAGTCCTGCACGGGCATCGACTACAAGGAGTTCTACAACTTCCTCAAAGTCATTGCAGAGAACAGGATTTCTGTCTTGGAGAAGGGCCTGGATGACGAGGCCTTGGCCAAGAACTCTTCCAAGGCTGCCATTTCCACCCTGGGAATGCTCCACGCCGTGTTCGACCTCAAGAGGACGGTGAAGGTCCTGACGTCGCTGAGCGCCAACGAGGATTTCAAGAAGCTGGATCTGACCTCCCTCTCCCCCCCTCCTGAGGCTTTGCTGCACCACCTCAAAGCTGCCATAGACACAGCCCTGCTCTGACTTCCCATTTTCCCTCGGTTCTTTGGGTAAACCAACCTTTCCCAAAGGCTTTGGAGAAGGTTCCTCCTCCCCCCGGTCACCGGCTGAAGCACAAAGAGCTTCCCTACGTTCATTTGGGAGTCAGTGGATGGAGGAGGGGAAAAAACGATCCCAGATAAAGGAAAAAACCCCCCCAAATCTTGGCAGGATTTTCTTCCCAGTCAGGGAAGGGGGACAGAAGTTCCCTGTGGATAACCAAATTCCCTGTGCTTCCAAGAGCAAAGCTGCACTCCAGCTCTGCTTTGTCTCCTCACAGCTCCATGATTTGAAGGCTTCCAGGTGCAGCTCAGCTTGTCTTTTCCTTCTTTTCTTTTTTTTAGGGAATTTGAGCTAGTTTGCTCCCTTGGAAGCCTGAGCTGGAGCCTGGAAGTGCTGGCTCTACTTGTGTCCTCCAGAGCTGGAATTCTCAGGTGGAATCAGCCCTCCAACGGCTCCAGGGTTAAATTTAACATCCTAATTAAGACACTGGAGCCCTGATTGCAATTAGAGCACTATTAATTAAGCATGTGACCCCCCCCACACCCCTTTTCCCCCAAGCTGCAAAGGAGGAATTGGAATGCACTCCCACATTCCCACCCCCAATTCCAAGGCACAGCAGGGATTTCTTTGATCAGGGAAGTCAGCCAGGAACCTCCTCTCAGCTGCTCCACTGTGGTGGGCACACACCAACCAAGCCCTTTGCATGGTTCCAACAGCACAATTCCCAACTGGAATGCCCAAATATTCCCAGGGAAACCTCCCTCTTGCTCTTCCAGAGAAGCACAAATGGCTGCACACTGTTACCACTTTAGGGCTCACTTGAATTCTTGCTCAAGAACTTCCTCAGTTTTGTTCCCCCTCCCAGGAAAAGCAGCTACAAACTGTATTTTTAGGAAGTGCAACAGCAGAAACCCAGAGTAGGCTGAGAATTCCCTCGTTTTCTAGATAATTCCATGGGTTTGTACTCGCATGCACTTTTTGCATGTCCTTTTTCTAGTAGAAAAAGAAAAAAAAATCTGCATTTTCGAGTAGCAAGTGGTACCTGGAATGAAAAACTCCTCACCCAGAGCATGGAAAAAACGTGGAGAAAACAGCATTTTTTATTTTTATTTTGGATCAAACCATCCCAGTGCTCCAACCTTCTGGAAAAGCACCAGTTTTAAGCAGCTCCACAATTCCAATTTCACAGCCTGGTCCTTGGGGCTCTTTCCATTCTCCAAAACTCAAGCTGGATTTTTCCTCCTTTTTAACGAAGAAAGGGACGTTTCCTAAAGGTGAGGGACAAAGATTCCCAGCTGCCAATCCTGGTTTTTGGTAGGAAAAGCACGTTTTTGGGCCTTGCATTCCTGCATGTTGTGACACTGGTGGTTAAAACCACGTAAAAATGAGATTGATGGATCCAGATTTGGCACTTCCAATCCCTTCATTCCCAAGAATGAGCACTAAAAATCAGTGAATCCAAGCAAATTCCCAAATGCTGGAAGGCAGCAAAGAGATTGGGATAAGGAGGAGGCAAGCCTGGAATCTCCCTTCAAATTTCCAACCAGCTTTATTTAAATACATCCAAGTAGGAGACTCTCATCCCAATATATTAATTCTTGTAATCAGTGTTATTATTTATTAAAGCATCAATCCATGTGAGAAACAGGAGCCAAGAGCTTGTGTTTTGCCTGGATAGTTCATTAGTTACCTGGGCAATTAATTCAAAGTCAAACTTTAAAAAATAATTTAAAAAAAAAAAAAAAAGCAGGTTAAAATCTGTGTCAAAACCTCTCCAAATGCACCTCACACAGGTCTGGGAGGGACAAAAAATCCCAAATATCCCTTTGATTTTCCAAAGGAAGGCTAAATCCCAACCTGATTTTGGTGTCTGGGGGGGTCTGTCAGCACAAATCTCCTTGGAAAAGCAGCAGGAAAAACAAGTGTTTGCATGTTTTCTCTTCCCAGGAGTTGGGATTTCTCCCCCCAGACCAACATTCCTTTTCTTCCAAGCCCACAGGAAATCCCTGCAGAATTCCAGAGCAGCAGGAGCAGATCCAAGGTGCGGGTGTGACATTCCCTGAGGCTTCAATAAATCCACATCTTTTGGTCTCCTAAAACCATGGGAATTGGGGAATAGCAGCTTTCCAATGCCATGGACAGGTCCTGAGTTTTAGCCCAGGGAGGAAGAGGAGTGGAGAAACCCCCTCTGCCCTCCAGGAATGGGGTTTTTTTAGGAATGTGGGGGTGACCTCTCCAACCAGAAATGGTCCCACCAGAACTCCTGTGCTTTCTCTCCAATAAACTCTTCTCCTTTCTGTCTGTTCACCAGAGCAGGGAAAAAGGAGCTCCCTGGGATTTGCAGGACAAGGAAAACGAAGCCACAGGGCCAAAAGAAACCTTTTCCACTCGGGAAGAGATTCCCAACCACCAGCTGAGGTTGGACAGCAGAGAGTTTTATCCATCAGCATCCCCGTGTGTGCTTTAGGAGCAGGGTTATTCCAAGGAAACCCGCAGCTGATCCAAGAATTCTTCCCTTTGAAAGGCAACCAGAGCAGCAGGGAAACAAAGGATTCCTCATCCAGCAGGAAGGATGTTCCCTTGGGATCCTGGGGCTCAGGAGCTGGCAGTCAGGGGGCAGTTCTCCCTCTGGTGGAGCCTCATCCTCTGGATGTGCTCGTAGCATGACTGGGAAGGAGCAGAACAAGGGAGTGAGGAGAAATTTGGGGGCTCAGGGACAAAATTTGGGAATCTGGGAACAAAATTTAGCAACCTGGGGACAAAAGTTGGGAATTTAGGGACAAAAATTGACAAATTCGGGGCCAAAATTTGAGAATTTTGGGGCCAAAACTTGAGAACCTTGGGGCCAAAATTTGGGAACTTTGGGGCCAAAATTTGGGAACTCTGGGGCCAAAATCTGGCACCTCAGGGCCAAAATTTGGTAGCTTGGGCCCAAAATCTGACAACTGTCAGGCCAAAATTTGGCAGCTTTGGGGCCAAAATTGGAGAACTCTGGGGCCAAAAGTTGGGAATGTTGGGGCCAAAATTTGACAACTGTGGGGCAAATTTTGGGAACTTTGGGGACAAAATTTGGCAACTTTGGAGACAAAATTTGGCAGCTTGAGGCCAAAATTGGAGAACTTGGGGCAAATTTTGGGAACTGTGGAGCCAAAATTTGAGAATGTTGGGGCCAAAAGTTGGCAATTCTGGGGCCAAAACTTGAGAACCTTGAGCCCAAAATTTGGCAACTTTGGGGCCAAAATCTGACAACTTTCAGGGGCAAAATTTGGCAGCTTGGGGCCAAAATTTGGCAAGTTCAAGGCCAAAATTGGGGAACTTTGGGGCCAAAAGTTGGGAATGTTGGGGTCAAAATTTGAGAAGTTCTGGCCCAAAATTTGACAACTGTGGGGAAAATTTTGGGAAGTTTGGGGCCAAAATTGGAGAACTTCAGGGCCAAAATTTAACAACTTTGGGACCAAAATTTGGCAACATGGGGGGCAAAATTTGGCAGCTTTGAAGCCAAAATTTGGGAACTTTGGGGCTAAAATCTGGCAAGTTTGGGGCTAAAATTTGGGAACTCTGGGGCCAAAATAAGAGCTCTTGCAGCCAAAGAAGCTGTGCTGCTCCCAAGTTCAGGATTAAATCTGCTGTCAGTGAAGGATAAGGATATTCTCCAGATTCTTTGGGAAAATCAACTCCTGTTCCAGGCACAAAAGCAGCCCCTAAAATTCCATCCCAGCCCAGCTTTGCTGCAAGTGGAAAAAAATTCCCTCACCTCCAGTGCTGTCAGCAGGAAGTCAAACATTCCTCCTTGGTTGGTGGGATCCATCAAGTCTCTGATCAGATGGATTTCAGCTCCCAGGTGCTGGATTCTAGGGAAGGAAAAGGTCCCAGTTAGGACAGATGGGTTGGAAGGGACCTTAAGGATCATCCAGGGACACCTCCCACTATCCCAGCCTGCTCCAACCTGGCCTTGGACACTTCCAAGGATGGGGCAGCCACAATTTATTGATGCTCCAGCATAAGAAAACTTCATTTTTCCCTCTTTTATTCCCTCCTGATCTCATTTACAGTCCAGGAAGATCCTTAGAAAACCTCCCTCATCCAGCACGGCCACGGGATATTCTGACAGGAAAAGGGGAAAAACACCCTCAAGGTGCTCCAGGGGTTGGATATTAGGGAAAATTTCTCCATGGAAAAGGTTGCCAAGCATTGGAACAGGCTGTCCAGGGCAGTGGTGGAATCACATCCCTGGAATTGTTCAAAAACACATGGATGTGGCACTTTGGGGACATGGTCAGTGATGAACATGAGTTGAGTTGACCTTAAAGGTCTTTTCCTTAACAATTCTAAGAATCCATATAAAAAGTTTAAATATTCCACCCTTTTTTTTTTTTTTTGGAGGCCAAACATATCCAGGAATCCTTGACAATCAGCCAAGGATTTTGGCTCCAATTTGCCAGGAGATCCAGTTTCCTTGGGCTGGATGGAGGCAAATTCCTGCAGTTCCACTGGAAGCCTCTGGCAGGAATGTGTTACACCCAGTCATTCCAGCCAGGAAAACAAATCTGAGGTTCTAATAATTAATATAACCTTCTAATCTAATGAGCTAATTAACAAATATCATGGTCAAAACCTTCCCAGTCTCCAAACTGGATCCCAGTGCCCTGCTGAGAATGGAAAAGAGATGATGCCTTGAAGGCATCAAAAATCAGCCTTCAGGAGCTCCATGTCCCTGTTTTCTGTGGGAAAATGAGACTTCATTTCCCAGGATAACCCTGAATTATCCTCTGGGATAAGAGCTGGACACTCAGGAATTCCCCAATCACTTTATATCCTGGGCAATCCCTTCCCAGCAGAGCTGGGTTGGGGTTACACAGAAACCCAAAAGCTCAGGAAAAAGCACAAATAAAACCCAAAATCCCAGTTTTTAATTTAAATTCTTTGGCCTGTGAGACCCCATTTCCCAGGACAACCTGGAATTATCCTCTAGGAGAAGTGATGGACACTCAGGAGTTCCTTAATCACTTTATATCCTGGGCAACATGAGCTGGGTTGGGGTTACACAGAAACCCAAAAGCTCAGAAAAAAGCACATTAAATCCCAAAATCCCAGTTTTTACTTTGAATTCTTTGGCCTGTGAGACCCCATTTCCCAGGACAACCTGGAATTATCCTCTAGGAGAAGTGATGGACACTCAGGAATTCCCTAATCACTTTATATCCTGGCCAACTACAGCTGGGTTGGGGTTACACAGAAATCCAAAAGCTCAGGAAAAAGTAAAAATAAACCCCAAAATCTCAGTTTTTACTTTGAATTCTTTGGCCTGTGAGACCCCATTTCCCAGGAAAACCTGGAATTATCCTCTGGGATAAGAGATGGAGACTCAGGAATTCCCCAATCATTTTATATCCTGGGCAACACCAGCTGGGTTGGGGTTACACAGAAACCCAAAAGCTCAGGAAAAAGCACAAATAAAACCCAAAATCCCACTTTTTAATTTAAATTCTTTGGCCTGTGAGACCCCATTTCCCAGGACAACCTGGAATTATCCTCTGGGATAAGAGCTGGACAATCAGAAGTCACTATATCCTGGCCAACCCCATCCCAGCAGAGCTGGTAGATCCCAACCCACAGAAACCCAAAAGCTGAGGAAAAAGCCCCTTAAATCCTCAAATCCCAGTTTTTACTTTGAATTCTTTGGCCTGTGAGACCCCATTTCCCAGGACAACCTGGAATTATCCTCTGGGATAAGAGATGGACACTCAGGAATTCCCTAATCACTTTATATCCTGGGCAACACCAGCTGGGTTGGGGTTACACAGAAACCCAAAAGCTCAGAAAAAGCACATTAAATCCCAAAATCCCAGTTTTTAATTTCAATTCTTTGGTCTGTGAGACCCCATTTCCCAGGAAAACCCTGATTTATCCTCTGGGATAAGAGATGGACACTCAGGAATTCCTTAATCACTTTATATCCTGGGCAACATGAGCTG